CTGCTTTTCCCCCCAATGACTCTTCATCAAAACTAAGTTTAAGCTATTGGTGGTGTCAAAAGGACAACTCCACAAATATACTTGTAAATTATTAGAAGAAGACAAATAGTTCTTGAAGGGTTGCTTAGTAAATCAAGGGATTCATTTGTGTGGCAGGTTGTCCGCTGCGACGCAATATCTTCCCAGATCATTTTCTATAGGAGTATTTTTTTTTTGTATATGCCCTTGTAGCTTCTGCCCCATCTAGGGTTCCCCGGACTGGAGCATGCCGATCCTATCTTCCATGAGTAAGTGCCTTGTTCTTCTCCTTGTTCCTCCTGCTTTTTAGTGAAACCAGTAAAATCTGAACTTTGATGGGTAAGTAAAAGTTGGCTCAAGCTCAATAAATCAAAGTCCCCGAATATTTCCTTGAGCTTATTTCAGGTACAAAGTCCTTTTGAATCCAAGCACCACTAACATCGTCTGCACGAGGCTACAGGCTAAGCCTAAGCAATGGGCAAAATAGTAATATGCGCCGTAGAACGAGTTCTTCAAGCAGTTTCCCAACTGCCGGACGTACGACAGTGGCACTGGCTTCGTCACCGCCACTCTCCGGGCACTGACCGAGCAGCCTGCCCCATTGACCGATGATGACCAAAGGCACGAACTGTCATTCCTGGGGGGCAATTGTGAGCATAATTGATTTAATAGGGTCACGTCCTCCTCCTGGGGGCAATTGTGACCAAAGGAACCTATCAATCTTTTTAACATTTTTCGAGTCTTTATGCCAGTGTGGAAATTATTTAATAGAATGAGCAAAAATCCACATTTTCTTCCCATTTTCTTGTTTTCACCCATTTCTTCTTCTTCCAATACTCATCTCTATTATCCCATTTATCCTTCTCTTTCTCATTTCTATATATGTGCATGAGTTGTCATCCCGGATGAAGAAGCAGAAATTTTTGTCATTAGAAAATTACTCGTTTTTTTTATTGTGAAGTAACCCGTGTTAATCTTAAAATCAGTATTATTAATAGGAGTAATATAATCTTATGACTAGTCTTAGTTTATTTGCTAATTAAGGTAGAATTAAAAAAAAGCTATCCTCCGGCTGTACTCAGAGGATGTTTAAGGTGTTTCAAATTTGCTTGCCAAAAATACAGTTAAACGTGTTTAAACCATTACAAGAAATTGAAGACTTTAGAAATCTTGGAATAATTTTGATTATAGTTTAAAGTCTGAATACAATACGAATAATACTTTTAAAAGTTAAGAGTTTGAAACCTGAATAAGTGGAGAATACAGAATATATACCGTTAAAACAATAGTTACAAAATAAATACAAAGTACAAAAGTGCTAGAAACTGGCCCAAACAATTGAACATACAAACTTCACAGACAATTATTGTTTCTGTATAAAAATTTATAGACAATTGTCATTTGTAGTGTCAAACACATGTTTACCGTACACCCAGTTGTACGTAAAATTTGGTACATCCGGAAAATATTTACTTTGAATCAACAAAATGTTAACTTTAAATCGACAAAATATTCATTTCAACAACAATGTTCATTCTGAAGTCTGTTCAGCATAGCATTTATCCGAAAACAATGTAAAGTTCACTTTGAAACATATTTATTCTAAAATGACGCAAATTTCGTCCTGAAACTTTTTTTTAAATTATAAGTTTGTCATGATACATCGGTCGTAGCATAAACATTTGCCCAAGCATGGTACGTGGATTTCTAGCATGACTATATTGAAATATTCTGTAGTTAAATAACTTAAATTCAGGCCACAACTAGTCTCAAATGTGGTTTGCTTTCACCTGCCATCAACAATAACTAAAGTATTTAAAATAAAGATGAAAATACGAAAAATATTTTGCTGCTTTTGTTTTGGTTTTTTTTTTAGTTTTTTGATCGTCCCAAAATTACACGAGTAACTTTTAACAAAGAATTTCACAATTGGGTAAGGTTTCTCTATCTTTTCCATAAATCTCAATCTCATAGCTAATGTAATTGGTGATTAGGGTCTAAAGGGCACAAGAGTGGAGACTAGAGAGGCAACAAAATATTGTTATTGACCAATTGCTACACTCAAGACTTCACAAGTACAAATACCTCAAATATCTGTGCAGTTCTGAATTCCCCCTGCATTTTATACTTTGTCTCTCTGGCTATGGCATTGGCAATGAATTTCCTGATCCACTTGGTAAGCTAGGCAAAGTTCCACCAAGCCAACCAAAATGCCTTGTTCCTACATATCATGGTGTGTGGAGAGAATTAGATACGTATCAAAACATTCATAAGTAGAATTCGGCAGCGAATGGAGTGCTTGATTTCCCGAACATGGTCAAAGAATGTATAAATGGTTCGCGCCTCACAGATTATCAATGCTCCCAAGGCTTTCAGAAAGGCGACTGAAAGCGTCTTACATGCTTCTGACCAACCATAATTCAAACTTTGCTGCCATACACCCTTTTTCTGGTTTACACAAACACGCACAAGCATGAGATGAATCTCCGATTCAATCACGAAGATTGACAAAATCATCTTAGTACAAGAATCGTGAAAAGAGTTTAAATATTCAGTGGTATTTACACAGTCTGCTTCAAACTGAATTTACAATCAGAAAAAGCCCACTAGACAAATGAAAGTTAACTCAAAAATGTTACAAACTTCCTTAAATAGTTGGTTTCAAGTTACAATTAGAAGCTTTCTTTTCTTTAACGTATTTGATACGTGCCCTCTTTTTCTTCTTTCTTTTGTCCCAAATTTTTCCTCCATCTTTCATACCCCTTTCTGTTTTTCTTTTCATCTTCATTCATATTGTTTCTCTTTCCTAAATACTCTGTAAATCTCCACCACACGATTATCACTCTTTTAAAAAACACGCAAAGTCAAAAGAAGATACTATAAAATTGGGAGGGCAAGAATAGGTGGTTACCTCCAGAGGTGAGGTATAATTGTGTAGAGAGCATCACAATTTCAGCTTCCCAGTTTAAAGAGTAAAAGCCTATACATGGGGTCACCGCGTTCCAGAACATGCTTTTCCCAATCTGATGCAACTCCAAATGGATTTTCCTTCAGCCATTGCCCTGAAGGATCCACAACTCCGAGCTTTTCTTGGTCATGCCCCATGAATTCATCTTTCATTCTCACAGCCACAGCTTCAATATCAGACTGGAGAAATACCTGCATGTCAATCAAGGCCATATTTGGAAATCGGAACTCAAAAATGGTAGGGAAGTGAGAGAGAGAGAGAGAGAGAGAGAGAAAGCAAAGGCAAATGATTATTTTAACATTTTGTTTTACCTTAGAAAGTTAAACTGAAAATCAAACATGTATTTCCATCAGTTGAAGTTATCATAATATAGAGTAATGAAGATAATAGCTTCAATTCTTAATGGATAACAGATATGAGAATAGATCACGTTAACGCTCTAGTACCTTCCCACCGAACACTAGCATATCAGCTACTGCTTCAATTAATGACCGCTGCCTGCAACATTCTCCATCTGAAATTTGGTCTGTTGAAATCGGGATTTGGACACTGATCACACAAAAAAAACTTTTGCTCAGTGTGAGAAACCATAACGACTACTATAGGTGATTTACACGAGATAAGTCCATGTGAAGATAAATTTTGAAGTTATAATATCCCACATAAGAGGACATTGAGTAGCAATTTCGCATCCTAATTTTCAAATCCGCAATATTCCTGCTCTATACCCACAACACACTCCCACTTTCCATTAAAAATTCACTGTTACCCCTACTACTTATTAACCTACCCCTACATCCTACTTTTTACCTATCACATCCAAGGGCAAAAATTGGAATGTCAACTACAAAATGCACTCCTATTAAAATTTCCAAAAAGTCAAAATGAGAACTCTATTTAGAAACGGAGGGAGTATGAATAATTAAAATTGTACCACAAAGATTGGTGCTCATTTTAACTTGAACAAAAGTTTATCTGCAGTAGTTTTTTCAGTCTTATTATATTTAAATTTATAAAATTTGTTTGAAAAATACTTCGCACGATGTCGTCATGTACGCCATTAAAAGAAGAGTGTTTAATTAACTGGAATGAAAAATGAGCAGTATATAAGACAACAATTTCAAGTACAACTAGTTTTTGCAGGATCTTACCTGTACTGATACAAGAACCACCTCCCCTGGGTAACTGGAAACGATAGACCGAAAAGGTTGACGTTGCATTTGCCGCAATGAAGTGCCTATAGGCCAGGCAAACTAATTAAGCATTAATGCAGAAACTTCTCCATATCTAAATCAATAATTGCATGGCTAACTTTTAATATAATAGATAAAAAATCGAAGTAGATAATCATCTCCTATGCCCCCCCCCCAAAACTCCAGAGCCAGTTTCATCTCACGCCATAAGAATGATGGTGGCGGAACTTAGGTTCCTTCACTCTTCTGCATTGGTGCACTTAGTGGTATAAATTGGAAAGGTACCCTTTCAATTTTATTTAGCTACAGTAAGTTTGATTTTCACAAGAGATGCACTGGATAATGGATATTATCATCATTATGTATGAGGCTTCCTTTCCATTGTACTCTGTATTTTATTTTTTGGTTTCTTAACTTAGTTGCAGAAAAAATTCTCGCGTTTCTATTTCAAAGAAAAAAGAACCTAAGAGAGAAATTGAACAAGGAAGATCGACAAATGCATTACATGACCTAAGCTAAACACACTGATCTCCTTTAGAAGATTGGAGTGTATCTTCGATCCGTGATCAAAGAGATTGCACTGTCATATGGATCCGTCAACATTAAAAGATATTGAATTCAAAATGTAGAGAAGAACAACATTGTAGGAGATCGATATTGATACCGAAAGAGGTGAGAACAAAGTGGCGCCGAACGAAAGAGCGTGGAATGGTGCAGAGCATTCCGAACCCCAAACGTTGGGTGATGCTTTCTTTTGGGTTGGGCAGTAACCCTCTTTTCCAGGCCTTATTTCAATCCACCCTAATTTAGCCCCTAGCCCATTTGATCTTTTTCCTTTGTTCTTTTCAAATGCATACTGAGTACTCTGTAACTCACATTTTAGACTTGTAATTAGTGCTAGAAACAATATTTATTTTCTTAAAAAAGAAAGTAAGGCATTTGCATTTACTAGTTCTAGAGAAAAGGGAGAGATTAGTACAAATATGTGTTTTTTTACATTTACAGCGAAAAGAATGTTTTAATAACATCTCAATAACTTCATATTTATTTACTCTTCATTTATTCCTCGCCGTGCATGTTTGTTAAATATAATGAACTCAGACTTAGTCAATTTGGCCATCCCTTTATAACAAAGTTGTCTAGTTAAGCATGTAGTCATAAGAAGAACTTCGAGCGTCTTCAAGCTCCAAATGGAAAACTTCGAGTGTTTCCAGACTCCCAAGAGAAAAAAGAGGAAGATATTAGAGAATTCTTGATTATTGATTGATTGAATAATAACAACGAAGAGTTACAATATATAAAGAATGCAAATAACCTAATTGACCTAATGGGCTAGGCCCCATACTAAAACCCTAGACCATCATTATATAATAATAAATAACTACTAAATAATAATATAACTAATTAAAATATTACAATTAACTATCCGTATCATTCTCACCGTCTTAGAAAACCACCTTGTCCTCAAGGTGGAGGTTTCCACTCATGTTTTTGGATAGGGGAGAAAGTGATGATTGAAAGAAGATGTTCACTTGTTGACCAGTCTTTACCCGACTTGACTTTTGGGGCACATTGCGGGAAATATGGGTGAGACCCAAAAATAACATGTATAGCAGCTCCCTTCAAATCCTGATTCTCTGACTTGATGATAAGGGGGTGGTGAGACATCATGATTATGCGAGACCAAACTAAAGAAAGAGGGTGTTGGCTATTTGGGTCGATGACACATCTCAAGGTCTGGCCCTTTGCAACGTCTCTGGCACAAGGTGTACACTCGAGCTCGTAGTTTGCTTCATCCTCGCCACTAGGGGTATCCCTCTCTTCCCCTATTGCATCAGTCCCACTATATATGTCATCATCCTTGACGTTTACTCCAGCACTCAATTTCTGAGATCCACCTTTATCCATGACAACAAGTGTTGGGTGTACAACTGCTCCTTTCCCTACCTGAATAATTATTTCTTGGGCCTCTTCGGGTATCTTCTCCATAAAGACGTAATGAAAGGGATCAAATCGAATTTTGAACTTGTGCACAAAATCATCCTAATCATTAATGAGCCCGTAATTCATACGCCAACGGAACCAATCTGCCACGGCCCCTTCCAACATCGATGTCACACATTGCAAACGATCCTTTGAGGGGATTTCATAATAAGCAAAGTATTCTTTTACCAAATGCAACCAACGCATGGGTTGGGAGCCATCACTCTTGGGTATTTCCAGCTTGGGCGTATGGGTGACTTCGTTAATGCTACCGACGGAAGACTCGGCCAAGTGGGTTTGAATTTCCAACAACGCTGCATCTAGCCGATCGAATCGATATTCCATTACTTTTCGCACCTGCACGAACACCTGGCTAAGATCACGAACCTGGGTGCAGAGATTTATGCTCGTGGATGCTGTATGAGTCATGGTGGCACTCCTCAATGTTGATTATTTCCAAATTTTGTCTTGGGTGATTTTTTTTCTTGGAGGCAGTGGCAAACAAAACAATGGCAAAATGAAGAGGCTAGGTGGCAACGAAAACTCCAAGGCAATTACTCTAAAAAATTGGGTACCGCTGCAAGCTCCCTTTTGCAGTTTTTTTTATATATTAATTGATGCACTCATGCACCAGACAAAAAATTATAGAACCTGGAACCCAAGTGTGCCGCAAATTTTTCTAATTTGGATCTGCTTATTCCTCCTGGTGATAAGCGGCTTGCACTTTGCTTTACTTTTTCCTTTGTGCGGCTGTGAGGCAGATCTGGTCACGGAAAAGCAATTTGACAATAGCTAAGTTTACGGAGACGACGGCGTGATTTCAGCCAGGGAACCTCGATGTTTCCGTCTCTGCCGATGCGGGTTTCAATCTGCAAGGCGGCTGGTTGTGGTGATGGGTTGTCGGCGGCGGCAGAATAGGGCAACTTGCGATCTGGGCGGCACCACACGATCTAACGGCGGCGATATAGTTTGAGCTAGGCCGGTGGCAAGCTTTGGAACCTCCAATTTGATGGTTTAGGCTAGTGATGACAGCTTTTTTTGTTTTTTTTTTGTTTTTTTTGAAGATTTCTGTGAGACACTTTGATATGATAAAATATCGGGATAAGATCGAGCGTCTTCAAGCTCCAAATGGAAAATTTTGAGTGTTTCTAGACTCTCAAGAGAAAAAAGAGGAAGATAATAGAGAATTATTGATTATTGATTTATTGAATAATAACAACGAAGAGTTACAATATACCTAATTGACCTAATGAGCTCGGCCCCATACTAAAACCCTAGACCATCATTATATAATACGGAGTAATAAATAACTACTAAATAATAATATAACTAATTAAAATATTATAATTAACTATCCGTATCAATTGCAAACAAAAAATACACTAACCATGCCCACCATTTAATTGGCAGTTAAAATCAGGCTACTATTTCAAACTTAAGGATGGACCATCGATCTATACTTGACTATCTTGGTAAAATTACCCAATAGCTAATATTTGAATTCTATTTTAAATTTATTTTCTATTAGTGACTAATAAGTGTGTGTGCGTGTTCAGACATGTTTTATTGATACAAATTACTAAATAAAAGTTAAATGTGGTGCACAAAACATAAGAGCATAAATCCTCATACACAATCACTAAGTTCATTTAATTTGTTCTCTCTAGCTAACACTAACATTTCATTGCTTTATATCGTCTACACTCTCCCCTTGAGAAGAGTAATTCTTCTCTATTTCTTAACTCTAATCTTCTCCCCTCTTACGATAGATGACTTTCGCAATATTGTGAATTGTTATTTCTTTTAACAATGTACATTTCTATTTAAATTTGAGGCCTAACACATTTTCAATACCTTTGCAGTTTAATTCCCCTGTTAACAAAGCACACACTATTCTTAAGAATGAAATTCTTTTGGAGAAATAGGCTCTCGTCTAATTCCATTGACATTTTGTAGATTAGGATAACCTTTTTATTGTACTTCTTTAAAACAGAAATGATACCACAAATTGGGCTCTTCCTTTAAGCCTAAAGATATAAGGATGGACCGGGTATCATGTTAGATTTCCCACTGATGCAGTATTACCGCATGTAAGCTAAATTCTAACATTTTCTTGACATGTTCGTATAATGAAGAGACTAACCTTCTTTGTACTCCATTTAGACGGACGGACGAACTGGGCCACTGCTTTTTCATTCATCAAAACAATAATCTTGGCGTCAGGGGCCGGTCCTAGCTCTAGAAGGGCCTGTGCAAAAGAAATATTGGGCCTCCATTATATTTGTTACTTTCTCGTTCCAAATTAAGTTACATGTTTATTATTCATATGATTAAACTTTATTCATGTTCTTAACCCATTTCTGTGACTCATTTGAAAAAAATAATATAATCTTATCACATCTTGTTTTGTAGAATTTATTATGTAGTTTTAAATATATAGATTTTATTTTTTATTTTTTTTACCAATATTTAATAAATTGATTTAAAAATACCTTTAGTTTAACCTTGTAAACAACAACATTCGAACTCTTTTGAGACGGAGGGAGTACATTACCCATACAACGTGAAAAAACTACTCCTTTTATCCTTAAAAGATTACCACAGTTTGACTTTTTTGGTTAAACGGTGGAACTCTTTAATCGTGAATTATGGAAAAAGTTTATTTAGTAATAATGTAAATTTAGTAAAATTGAGTTTTTTTTAAAAAATATAGTTTCGAAATATCAAATTTTTGCAATATTTAATTATTTTAAAATAAAAGTAGTTTGTGGTCAGAGGATGCCACAATTTGATCAAAAAAGTCAAATTGTGACAATCTGTTACTGACGAAGGGAGTATGTTATTGACAATAAAAAATTAATTACAAAATTAAGCCTATGTTCTTTTAATATATCTTAATTGATAAAATTTTATGAAGATAGTGAGAGAGAGAAAGAAAAAAATGATATCTACAATTTAAAAAAATAAGGGCCTCCACACATGCATGGGTGGTAGAAACCTAGATGCACGTATACAATTTTGACGAGAGAATGAGTGATAATTACAAATCCTACCACTTCAAGTTAGAAAGTCAGCTCTTTAATTTTTCAACTCACAGAGAACTAGAGAATCGGTATCCATTATTATGAAGAAGGCAACTAGGCGAGGGGCAATTATGCAAGAATTGTATAAACTCCATAATATCCATACCTGCTCTGGAAAAAATTGGGCCCTTCATAAAATTGGGCCATGTGCGGTCGATCATGTGGAACAGGCTCTGGGCCGCCCCTGCTTGGCGTTAACACTTTTGGGCCCCGACGGAGTTGTGACTAGATGTGTTCAACTGCGTCTTGGCGTTAACATCTAGTTACTAATTCAATCCCCAATTATTATATTCATTTCTACGAATGGTTCTTTGTTAATATTTCCATTAAAAACGTGGATAAAAATGTAAATCAACACTCATTTCCTCAATTAAACTTCTTCCCTTCCCTCGCACTTATTTCCTAAACCTGTCACTAAGTTTGAAGCTTTGAACCCTAAGCTGAAATCATCACTCTTCTCTCAATTGTTTGTTTAACTGGTGGAACCCAAATTCGAAACCAGTAACCTTCATGAATGAGTTTTAGTGTTTATTTTCTTTGCAATTTCTTGTGACTAACTAATAAAACTCATCCATAAAGCTTATTGGTTTTGATTTTAGGTTCTACGAGGAAGACTAATAATTAATAGAAGAATGATCATTTCATGGATTTAGAGCTTCAAACTCATCAACGAATTTGGGAAAGAGTACGAGAGGAGGAGAAAACTTAATTGAAGAGAGAAAGAAGTATGAATATACAATTATATTCACATTTTTTAAAAAAACATTAACAAAGGATCATTGGTGAAATGATATACTCCCTCCGTTTGGAAAAACCCTTCACATTTGATTTGTGGGCAAAAATAAAGAAGTGTTAAATTATAGTTGATTTGCAATTTTGCCCCTGATGTGATGGGTAAAAGTAAAATATGATGGATAGATTATTAGAGAAAAAATATGATGTGATAAGTAGGGTAGGAAAAAGTAAGGGTAAAAGTGGTTTTTTAATAAAAAGGGGAAGTGTTTTGTTGGAAGTGGAAAAAATGAAAGAGGAAGTGTTTTTGAAAACGGAGGGAGTAATAATTATGGACTAAATTAGTAATATTTGATATGTGGGGACTAAATATGTAAAATGACCTATAACTGGCCTGGAAACTTTTAATGGAATTTATTAATCTTAATATTTAATCAAGAGATGACAAGAATATATCTTTTTATCAAATAATTTTTGAAAATGGATAAAGAAAGTTATTAAAATTTAACCATATGAATAATAATTGAGAAAAATATTTTAGAATGGACAAAGTATATTTTAACTTTCAGATATTTATACACGAAAAAGATGAATTGGATATGGAATGAAAGTATTATATTTTGGGTATTTGCACATATCCAAAGTTCATATAAATTCTTTATAAGAGAGGCGTGAATTCTTTCCCGCCTAAAATTTTGTGTTTAATTATTGGGCCAAGCAATTCAACATACTAGAAAATAATCTAATTTGCGGAGCGATTACATGATTAATTTATTTTTATTTTTTTCGTTCTAATTAACATGCTGACTAATTATCTAAACATGCACCTGAATGGGCATGTATTCATTTCCCACAGCCCCACTTACTAGTAAAAAAACTGAACTCCAATCTTCCACTTTTCTTAAGTGCACACTAACACGAACTTAGACAATTTATAAATTAAAAACCAAACTCAAGTCATATTTCATGTAATATAAATACAACATGAAGATACTCATTTCGTCATCATCATTTTATAAATACTTTCTTCATTAACACGGGTAGGTATTATAATCACTCGTTTCTTCACCACTTTTGTAACTCTACATCAACATAATTTTAAACATGTTTCAATGAACACAATAATATTTAAATTTTCATTGATTGAAGCACAAAAAACAAAGTAGATTCTCATACATGGTAATATGTACATCCTTTTTCATCATATAACTATCTTTTGATATCAATTGTGTGCATGTGTACTTTTATTTCAGATCATTTTAAAATGATACGGAGTAGAAATAAATTTAAAAAAAAATGTAATGACATGAACAGAATTCATATGGGATTTCTGTCAGGGAGAGATATTTAGAGTAAATCTCCTTTAAGTTCAAGCTTCAATTTCAAAGAGTTCAATCAATCAAGAAACGCATAGAGAATCTAAGGTTGTGATAAAAGATTCAAGAATTCCTTCAGAATTTGAGTACCTACAAGCCTCCATGGTTAATAGAGAACTCATTCTAAAAGTTAGTGTAATTAAGAGATCATAGATTTAAATTTGGTATAACCTTTTACTTGAGATACTATTCTACTCCGTACTATAGTTAGAATAGTTTGAAAACCACAACAAATAAATCAAATAGATTGAAAAATGATTACCTTTTAGTATCATTACATTCAAGAATCAACAAGATGTACACCCTCTAAAACAAATAAAATTTATTGATGTACAATCATATTGAGTATTTATTTTGTATTTTTGTACTCCGTATTACTTAGCCCTAGAGCATATTGGGCTAGAGGCCGGTTCACTAATTACATACTTCCTCATTTGAGAAAATATTTTCTCTTTCATTTTTTCGGTTTCATCAAAGCACTTCTTTTTTATTAAAATAGTTAATATGTCCAAATAAAATCATTCCAATATACGTCAACTATATAATAAGTGATTTGTCACTATTTTCTTTTCAACGCTAAGAGCTGTGGAAATCCCCATGGAGCCCTAGGCTTTGACCGATATTTCTTAAGGATTTACTCGTAAATAGACCTCATCAAAATGCATGCATGCATGACCAGGTTTCATGCTAGGCCAAGGCATTATATTATGAAAGTTTTCTAATGTGCCAAACTGCTAGGCCAAGCCCTAACCCAGCCCACACAAGAACATGTGGGCTTTAGGCCGGCCCAACTGCAAAATCAATGAGCTCAATGTGCGTAACTGCTAATACGTCCAGCAACTTCTAGATCACTTGGCTGGTTACAGCAAAGTGTTACATTTGAATCACGTGGATGGTATGCTTAATTGAGAGGAGGTAAATAAGTTCCGATTTCAAGTGAGCAATAAGGAATGAAATTTGACCTTAATCCCGGCCACTATACACCCTTTGGCATCCCCGCTTGAACGCCTCCCTGGCTAATGGCATGTCATGCAAGTAGTTTTAGTTATAGGTCAAACTCTCGGTTCCACCGGTCACGTTTTTCCCACTTGCTTTTTTGGAGACTATGCCTGATCACACACACACACACATTGCTTCTCAAAGCCCCAATACCAACCAGTCTCCTGAAAACTGCGTCATCCAATTCACTTGGCTTATTTGTTGCACCTAAAATAACAAACAGATAAGTTGGGCAGGGAAGAAAAACATTTTATATGGTACTCGTATAACATTTGAAAAAAAAAGACTAGATGTTTCAAACTAACAATTTAGACAAGACATATGATAAAGAGAAAATTATGGGGGAAAATTACTCTCTGTACCAAAATGAAGTTTACATTTTTCTTTTTGGGATGTCTCGATGTAGAATTTACAGTTTCCGGTTAAGGAAATGAATATGTGGCTTATAACAATGCATCTTACCAATAACAATTACCAAATCATCTGAATTAGATGTAACCCCATCGAATTGGATAAGGAATTCAGATTTCAATTAACCTCCTGCTGGATTCATACTCGTTGGTCATCCTAGTTGACATAATACTGTCAATCTGTTAACCACATAAACATTCTCAAAGGATCACAAAAAGGACGACAATACTAACGGCAAGAAAAACAACCAATATAATTCCTTTAAGGCCCATTTTTAGAGACACCAAGGAGACATATGCGCTGCTGCCTTACTCTATTTTCCCTTTAATTTGACTTGTTAACTAAAATGCTAAACTTTAGCAGCCAAATGCAACTCTAGCCAAAGTTTTAAATCTCTGCACAACGTAGTTATGTACCGATGCTGTTTTTGTTCCAATTTTTGCCCAACTTACACTTTTTGTTAAAATTTAATCTGAACCGGCACTGTGATATGAACCCGTCTCCATATATCTATTTTTTTCACCTTGTCACTGCCAGAGTGATAAAATAAACCTAATAGTTATAGTCCTAACCCAAGTGATAATGCTAACAACATTTGTTTCACATAAACGTGCAAAGATCCCTTCCTCTTTCCCTTGGAGGGAGAAGAATTGACAAGCCAGCAAAAACAACCACCAACTTGTCAGTGTTATAGATAGACCGTACCTCATCCATAAAAATTACTGATGCTTGCCTAGAAATGGCAACCGTGAAAGGGGTTCGAACAAGATTTTCACCCTATCCCACCTGTCAAAGGCAAAGAAACTGAGAAACTAGAAAACTTAATATTACACTTTACGAACAAAGAAAGCCAGCAGCCAAATCAAACACTCACCCACTTTGATGTTAGGGGGGAAGCAGACACACCGAAGAATGTTGCCAGTGACTCTGAAGCAACTGCTTTGGCAAGCATGGTGTTGCCAGTACCAGGTGGACCAAAAAGAAGCAGACCTGCATGACAGAAGCCACAGAGCTATTGTCATAAAAGACCTCTGTTATTTAGGTGATAGAATGGCACTGGCCTCTGTGACAGAATACCTCTTGCAGGCTTTCTAAGTCATGTAAAAAGGTATTGCCTTTTGGTTGGCAGTATTACCATTTCCAGCAGAGCTTGTTTTGCATTTTCAAGCCCAGCTGTAGAAATTTAAATTTGTAAATTACAAAATATTAATAGATTAAATATTGAAACAAATGGAATATGACAGACAGATTCTCACCAATCTCTTCCCATTTTACAGGACTTCAATCCACAATCACAGAATTTATCATTTCAGTCAACTTTGCATCATATCCACCACTGGACTCTTGTACAGGTTTTGAGCTTCCAACTTTTATAGATTTGGTCAAAACAAAATCCCTGTGCTTGTTGGATCCAGAAGGCTTTTCAACTGCAGATTTTCTAAGATAAGAGCTTGTAGCCAAAACAGATGTATTCTGGACCCGAGGAGCGCCATTATGAAAATAAAATACTCCATAATAATTTTCAGAAGAGCGTAGCACCTAAGCCAAAAGTCTGGTGATCGAGGATCTTCCCACCAAGCCACTATGGAAATTATCAAAGGTTTAAGTAGTTTAATCTATCCACATAGCCCTTACAAATTAGACAATTTGAGGAAAAGAGTGGACTTGAAATGCCAAACAATTCAGTAGATATATTTTAAAATAGTCTTCAAATATTCCGTAATAAACTATAACGTCCCAAGACTCCCAACCCAGTTGGTTTATGAAATCAATGCACATGAACCAGAACAATACAAACGTACACTTTGTTCGAAGCAGACCATACCTTGATTAGAGCAGATGTACTACCTGAAGAACCTGCCAGCAGGAGGATAGTAAATTTAACTATATATCTATAACTAGTCCAAATGGGATCAAATACAAAAAAGAACTAGACCTGCTCTTTGGCTTAAAGTTTGAATTCTCTCTGCAACCTGACCCTGCCATTGTGACATCTTTTGGCAAAAAGATTTGGCCTTTTCTAGTTCACTGCCACAAAACACTAAAACAGCTCACCAACAACTCACTCAACAGTAAACAGTAGTAATTTCCAAAACATTTTCAGTTCAATTAAACCAATGTTTGAGGTGTTGCCAGCTGGTAAATACGTAGAACACAGAAACTCAACATCAGATACAGCAACTTTGTGAGTGTGTGTGGGGTGAGGTTGGGTTAAATGCCTCTCTTTAACCTCTTTCAGCATTTCTTTTTATCTTGGCTACTCTTTGGCACAACATAAATAACTTATACATCTGTGCTGCAACAAAATCAAATTTTGTACGATATGCAGCAATGGGGCTATCTAGATGAAGTAAAAGCCTATGAAAAAAATCCAGTGGCTGACTCTAAGAAGCTCCTTCAAAGTATTCACCATCTAATATTTTAATAGCAATTTAACAATAAAGCACTTCCTGAAAGGAGCATATAAATATTCAGTTTTTTTGTACCAAGAAGATCAAATTAAACTAGCACAAAAAAAAATGGAGCACCTTGATGTGATGCACGAAGGAACAGGGGTAGAAATGCCTTCTAAAAGAACTCTCTGACAGCTTTGGCGGTCTCTTCTTTGGCAAAATCAAAGTAGGTTTTGAGCTTGTAAGCCGTGCATCGTTACCGGTGCAGCCGGAACGGCCGTCAGGGTTTCAATGAGATTCCGGCGAAGAAGAAGAAGTGTTGATTGTGGAAGATCGAACTTATGTTCGGTTCCATGCTTTAGCTATGGAATTTAAGAGTAATTCAGGGTGTGTATTGTAATTTTTAGGTGTATTTAATTGTAAATAGAAATAAATGGAATTTAAAAGTTTAGGTGTATTTAATTGTAATATTTTAAAATCTATAAAAATTTGGGTGTATTCAATTAGGATTTTAAAAAGTCATTACAAATTCAACTAAAGTCTAGCCGTATACAAAATAGACTTTTAAAATTGAAAAAAAATCTACAAGTATTCAAATTAATATTAAACCTATGGATTTAATAAAATCATTTATATATGAAGATATTTTACTCTAGGACTATATATATTCTTTCTCCATTTTTTTCTTCACGCAGGAGCTGGTATTCTCTATAGACTTTTTTACGCAAGAGCCCTAGATCCACCGTCAAAGTCTGATTTCTCCTCAACTGCCGGAGCAAGTATTCTTTGTCGCCTCAAATGCTGGACCTGGTATTCTTTTGGACAATTGATCTCCAAAGCAATTCTGAGGCACGCTATTCAAATTCATGTTTACCTGAGGTCGGAGGAAATTTGGATTTCCTTACAAAGGATTTTGATTTTTGTCGGCATCAACCCAGTACAGTAATTAAATGGGATGACTAGAACTGTACTTACCCACACAATATTATCCAAAATTTTATTGAACTTTAACTTTTTTACAGTTAACAAGGTTGACCTTTTTTTACTGATGTATCAATTAAAATAAATGTGCAAAAAGTATAACTCAATTTTATGAAAAAAGAAGGTTCCTTGCATGTATTTTTAATGAAAAATGAAAAATAAATATATGGAGTAACAAAAAACTAAAAAGACAGACCAATCACACAATACTAACATGACTGGAAGAGTTATGTGTGAAATTTTTAAAGTAAAATCACTATCGCACATGATCTCTAAAATTTTTGGGTTCTATATTTTTAAATCCATCATTAATTTTGAAGTATAAATATTTTAAAATAACAAAGTAGGACTCAAAATGTGAATTTTAGACTAGACTAATTTTATTTTTTCATTTTTCTAAGTCCTATACCACTGTATCATTTACCTTCGCGTAATATCTTGTACTTATTTTTGTTTGTGAGAGTTACAAGTTTACAACCATTGATCTATGGTATTTGGCATAGACAATCTATGTCTTAGGTTTGTGTACAAATCGGGTTAGCTGTAGGTTAAGTTAATTCTTAGAAAAATGGTAGGTACACCGAAATGCTCTAATTCTTGGAAGTACCCGAACAGTGCTGTTTGGGAGGGATGTGTTCAACAATTATGGTCAAAATTGTGTTCAACAACATGCTCCACATGATTTTCGACCTAAATTGTGTTTTTTATTAAACATTTTTTTGATTCATCTGTTCGCATTTACCCACTCTCGGTCGACTTCGCTTCAAGTTGTTGCTGGTTTGTTCCGCTGAGAAGGTGCCACAGAGAAGTCATGCGTTGGACTGGTCGCTTTTTTTTTTTGAATCTCCGATTCTTTCTACAACCCATCGGCTTCCGTTTCATATAATCATAATCGAACATGGTGAGTCACTGAATTTTTCTCTGCTCTCCTTTTGCACTGTATTTCCTGCTAGATCTGATTTGGTTCAGCGAAATTGTGATAAGAGATTTGGTATTCCTTATTCCCATGCGAATTGTGTACTAATTAGCTACTTCTCTCATTGCTAATTGGTTTACGGATTCGTGATTAGTTTGTTGAACACTTTGTTTTGTAACATCTGGTATGTTTTTGTGGTTACTAACTAAAATTTCGTTTCTTTTCTTGTGCGGTTATGTAACATGTAGCCTCTGAAGTTGGAGATCAAGGTATTATAGCCTCTATAATTTCCAATGCAACTTTACAGATTTGCATTTGTGTTTATATCTCCTTTTTTAAAAATATATATCCTCAATGCTACCTCTTTTTTATTGGAGGAGAGAAAACTTGCTCAACGACCAGAAAGATTGAAATCCATGGATCTGCATCGAATGGAGCCATGATAAATAAGAATACTGTCAAGTTTGTAATTTTGGGACTATTTACATCTAGCCAAACACAGTTAAGGGAAATTTACCACAGTGGTACACTTTTTTTGAGCAAAGAGTGGTTTACCGTTTACGGTTTACCTGTTACGAATGTGTTAAGTTGTGCAAGGTTAGTCAAGTTTCCCCCCCTGCAATCCTCAACAAGTCTCACTATTATCATCACGCATAGCTTCTTAGCTAAAAATGTCTACATATACATGTATCGCATTCCAGAAATATAAGTCACTTCCAAGAATTTTGTTGACATTATCTTATTCTATAAAAATTTGATTATTTCAAAGTCTCAGTGTAGATCAATTTCTCTCATAAGTCCTATTTCGAAAAGTAATGAATTAGGCTCTGTTATCTTCAACTTACTGGTGTTTATTCAAATGATTCACAGGGCAGGATTGGTGTTGATTTCTTTTTTTAGACTCATTAGAGCTCTATTATAGGCTAGCGAGTAATAGCAATGATATTATAACTCCATCCATAGTTCCATACCCAAATCTCTATTTCCATCTAAAAATGACATGTATGTAGATTAGATTGTTCTCTTCGACTTACTCCTATTATTTATTAATTAATCTTATTGGAATCGTATCAACCCCATCGACGTTGATATTTAAAATAATCTATTGTAAATTGATAATATGTTACTCCATACATGCCATGCTTTTTTGTCTTGGTATAGATAGAGGTATCTAATTGTTATTTTTCATCTTTCAACTTGACGTGTCTTATATCTGATAGGTAGCAAGGTACAATGACATTGAAGATATAAAGAGCTAAGTATCCCACAATGTATCACTTCAAAAGACTCACAGGCTCAAACTGGTATGTATGTATATATGTGTGTGTGTGTGGCCAATTTAGTGATGGGCTCTAGGATGCTGACATTTGGCACTTTCTAAAGTGCTGGCTTTTTGACATGTGGACAATTTAGTGATGACAAGTAAAAAAAATATGAGCCTTCTTCCCAGACGAAACATCTCGAAACACGCTTCCATATTTGTATCTCTTCCCCCTATATTCATTCCAATTTCATTCCAAATTGATTGCCTCTTCCTCATTGGATAAAAATCTCCAAACAGAGTTAGATACCAGAATTATACAAATTTCTTGAGCCGATTCCCACCCTTTTTTCTAAAGGCCGATCCTCACCCCTAAATTGCTGGATTCAGACTTGTTTCCTATCAGAAAATATATACGGCACTTCAAATGCTGTCCAAACTAGGTTTTCTTCTTCTTCATTTATCAATTAATTTCAAAATGGAATCTTCTCTTTATTTTCCTGCTTTAAACTTATGGCCACTGTTTTTTTCACTTCTGCATTTCTATTTTCTGCTATTCACTAGCGCTTAATTTTACTATGGGTTGGTTTTTTTGTTGTTTGTATAAATTGTTATGGCTAATTGACTATCACTTTGTTAGAAATCCAGTTGTCGCTCCTTAATTTTAGCTATTTTAGTTTAGTTAGTTGAGTCTTTTACGGAAGATATTTTCTTCTTGGAGACTTCATATATAGATGCTTCTGTATTCTCTGTAATAATGAACAATGTTATCACAGTAATTTTTCTTCGTTCTTCTTCTTCATACGTGATGGTCAAGCATTCAAATCTAACATGGTATCAGAGCTTGAAGATCACGATCTTCAAATTACTTCTCTAATTTTTCCGCAAAATCAATTCCGCAATTGATCTTCGTTGTCTGTTCTTCCGATTCACCTTCGCTGATCCTCGCTGTAATGACGACAACTTCTACGACTCTCAGCTCATCCGATCCTCTCTATTTTCATCCATCAGATCATCTTGGCCTACTGGTATCTAAACAGTTTGATGGCGAAGGTCTATATTTTTCTCAAGCTGGAGGTCTATATTTTTCTCAAGCTTCTTCAGAGTCTTCTCATCAACACTCCACCTCAATTCCTCTCCATACAAGTCCAGCTTCATCAACTTTGTCTTCTTCTGTTTCTATGTCTTCTTGTAATTCCAAACAGAAATGCAATGATGTTGTTAAACTTTGGCATATGCGTCTAGGGCATTTACCTGCTTATAAACTTAAATCTGTATGCCCTATCAATAATGAGAGTTATGATTGTCTAGACACTTGTGCCATTTGTCCTAAAGCTAGACAACATAGATTACCTTTTCCTTCAAGTACTAGCAAAAACAGTCATCTTTTTGAGTTAGTTCATATTGATCTCTGGGGACCTTATTCCACAAGAACTCATAATGGTTTTCATCATTTTCTCACAATAGTTGATGATTATTCTAGAGCAACTTGGACATATCTGATGAGTGTTAAAAGCAATGCTCCTGAATTTATCAAGGCCTTTGTTGAAATGGCATTAACTCAATTTGGTTATCCTGTTAAATCCATACGTTCAGATAATGCCTTGGAATTGGGAAAAAGTAAAGAAACCATGACATATTTTTTATCCAAGGGCATTTTCCATCAAACCAGTTGCACAGCCACTCCACAACAAAATGGAATCGTTGAAAGGAAACATAAACATTTGCTTGAAACCTCAAGAGCTTTGCTTTTCCAGTCAAACCTACCTTTAAAATTTTGGGGGGAATGTGTTCTTACAGCCACCTATCTCATTAATAGGTTTCCTACTAAATTACTTGAAGGCAAAACACCTTATGAACGTTTATTTGGGGTAGTGCCTACTTATGATCATTTAAGAGTTTTTGGTTGTTTGTGCTATGTCTCTACTCTTAAATCTGGAAGATCTAAATTTCAAGCTAGAGCACATCCAGCTGTTTTTCTTGGCTACCCATATGGCAAGAAAGCATATAAAGTTTTCAATCTTGAAACCCAAAAACTTGAAGATTCAAGAGATGTTGTTTTCCACGAAACCATCTTCCCTTATCATTCCACAAATAACCCCTCTTCTTTCATGTTTCCAGTTCAGCCTACCTTTGATTTTTCCAATACTGATCCTGCAACATCTCCCTCATCTGTTCCTCCCAGTTCTACT